TATGGATACTCTCATGTCTAGAGACAATTATACTCATGACAAATCAATACCAGGAGGCCATTGAACAGCTGGAGAGTGTGTGAACATTTGTTCATGAACTCAACAAGCTCAGCAACCTTGTTCACTCGTGTTCACCAGTCCCTAAACCTGCCACTCCGTTTACAAGGCAACTGTTGTGTCTGACAGGAAGCATACAACCCCACACAACCCTCCTAACCTATCGAGACTTACTCCGGATTCGACCAATCCGTTCACAAGACGACGTTCTTCTACAAATTAGAACACCATAAAATTGACGTTTCGTACCAATCAGCTCCTAGAGGTTGGTTGGATTTTGTACGTTTAAGGTTAGGGTAAAACCGTTGCAATTTGTACGGACTACAGCACCGCTGGATGAACCTCTGTTGCCATTGTGATTTGTATTATGGTACGTGAGTCCTGCTGTACCCTTGATGGGTGGTACAGTTATAGTACGTGAGTCCTGCTGTACCCTTGATGGATGGTACAGTTATGGTACGTGAGTCCTGCTGTACCCTTGATGGATGGTACAGTTATGGTACGTGAGTCCTGCTGTACCCTTGATGGGTGGTACAGTTATGGTACGTGAGTCCTGCTGTACCCTTGATGGATGGTACAGTTATGGTACGTGAGTCGTGCTGTACCCTTGATGGGTGGTACAGTTATGGTACGTGAGTCCTGCTGTACCCTTGATGGGTGGTACAGTTATGGTACGTGAGTCCTGTTGTACCTTTAATGGGTGGTATGTGGAAGTATACCCATGAGCATGCATACCCATGACCAAGTATACCTATGAGCAAGTATACCCATGACCAAGTATACCCATGACCAAGTATACCCATGACCAAGTATACCCATGACCAAGTATACCCATGACCAAGTATACCCACGACCAAGTATACCCATGACCAAGTATACCCATAACCAAGTATACCCATGACCAAGTATACCCATGACCAAGTATACCCACGACCAAGTATACCCATGACCAAGTATACCCATAACCAAGTATACCCATGACCAAGTATACCAATGAGCATGCATACCCATGACCAAGTATACCCATGACCAAGTATACCCATGACGTATTAAGGACTGAAATAGGAAGTGGGTAAAGCAGTGTGTGTATAAGCTAGCAGAAGACGTGATATCTTTTGCTAATATCTAGTTTAAAGCTGCTAATAAATACAGATTTGAGAGTAAATTCCTCTGGATAACATAGCATGATATCATGGCAAAGCATTGATACTGTTGATATCCTCACAAAAACAGCGTGTATATAGCAGACAGGTGTTTGTAATCATTACAGATGTTTCATTGGCTGTAACCGAGGAAATATTGAATGTCCGATGACAATCTTATTGACCTAATAAAGATATTATATTGTCAGGGGCCAAAGGGGTGTAATCTGGCATCCTTCTGTGTCGCTACTCTGGGTAGGGAGATGTTCCCTAGTGGTGAGGGGTGTGGGGTTGTAGCTGGGGTGAGGGGTGTGGGGTTGTAGCTGGGGTGAGGGGTGTGGGGTTGTAGTTGGGGTGAGGGGTGTGGGGTTGTAGCTGGGGTGAGGGGTGAGGGGTTGTAGCTGGGGTGAGGGGTGTGGGGTTGTAGCTGGGGTGAGGGGTGTGGGGTTGTAGTTGGGGTGAGGGGTGTGGGGTTGTAGCTGGGGTGAGGGGTTGTAGCTGGGGTGAGGAGTGTGAGGTTGTAGCTGGGGTGAGGAGTGTGGGGTTGTAGCTGGGGTGAGGGGTGTGGGGTTGTAGCTGGGGTGAGGAGTGAGGGGTTGTAGGAGGGGTGAGAGGGAGGGAGGGAGGGGGGGTCTATGCCGCTGGTAGGGATCCGTGGGGGTGGGGTGGGGTGGGGGGGGGAGGTTGTTTGCCGGCGGCACCATAGTGACAAGTGTTTGGAGTCATCAACATCCCTCCTCCCCACCCACCCCCCCCCCCACCCTAAGGTTCACTCACCAACTCACACCTGCTCAATTTACCTCCCTCCTCCCAAATCTCTCCCTCCCCCTTCTCCTTCCCCCCCCCCCTCTCACTCCATTTCTCAGCTCCTCCCTCCAACCCTCCCTCCCTTCTCTTTATCCACGCGTGGGTCGGGTTAGAGAGGCTTCTCTCACCTGAGTCACGCAGGTCTCTACGGGTTAGGAACACACAGTTTCTCATCCTCATATCGGACATAGACAAGAACACAACCTATAGCACTGTATCATCCTTTGCAGATGACACTAGGATCTTCATGAGAGTAGGCAACATAGAGGACACGGCGAACCTCCTGTCAGATGTAGATCAGGTCTTTCTATGGGCTACAGAAAATAATATGGTGTTTAACGAGGATAAGTTCCAGCTCATGCGCTACGGAAAAAAATGAAAATATAAAAACGGAAACCACGTACAAAACTCAGGCAAATCATAACATAGAACGAAAAGGCAATGTAAAGGATCTGGGTGTACTCATGTCGGAAGACCTTACATTTAAAGAACACAATAAAGTAGCCGTCACAACTGCAAGAAAAATGACAGGTTGGATAACAAGAACTTTTCACACTAGAGATGCTATACCGATGATGATACTTTTCAAGACGCTAGTGCTCTCTAGAGTGGAGTACTGCTGCACAATGACAGCCCCTTTCAAACCTGGAGAAATTGCTGACCTGGAGAGCGTGCAGAGATCCTTTACTGCTAGAATCCACTCAGTAAAACATCTAAACTATTGGGACCGACTAAAGAGCCTAAATCAGTACTCCCTTGAGCTCAGGCGGGAAAGATACATAATAGTTTACACGTGGAAAATATTAGAGGGGCTGGTCCCAAACCTGCACACAGAAATAACATCACATGAGACCAGAAGACATGGCAGGATGTGCAGAATACCCCCGTTGAAAAGCAGAGGTGCAACAGGTACTCTGAGAGAGAACTCTATCAACATCAGAGGCCCGAGACTGTTCAACACGCTTCCACTACACATAAGGGGCATAACTGGCCGATCCCTCATAGTGTTCAAGAGAGAACTGGATAAGCACCTCCAAAGGATACCTGATCAACCAGGCTGTGACTCATACGTCAGACTGCGAGCAGCCGCGTCCAACAGCCTGGTTGACCAGTCCAGCAACGAGGAGGCCTGGTCGACGACCGGGCCGCGGGGACGCTAAGCCCCGGAAGCACCTCAAGGTACCCTCAAGGGAGGTTCGTCAGTACAAGTTGATGACGTGACAAACCACAACTTGTAATGTTATCATTAGGCTGTTATTACAAGCTGGTGTTGTCACTTTGTGTTGTTGGTGTTGTGATACATGGAGTTATCACATGGTGGTGTTGTGATACATGGAGTTATCACATGGTGGTGTTGTGATACATGGAGTTATCACATGGTGGTGTTGTGATACATGGAGTTATCACATGGTGGTGTTGTGATACATGGAGTTATCACATGGTGGTGTTGTGATACATGGAGTTATCACATGGTGGTGTTGTGATACATGGAGTTATCACATGATGGTGTTGTGATACATGGAGTTATCACATGGCGGTGTTGTGAGATGCAAGAGTTAATTTTTTGCATCTGCTTTACTACCTCCTTAGTGGAGTGGTGTTATCTCTGCTGTTGTAAGTGTGTCGGGAACAACACCAGTATCTAGGGCTCCGTGTCGAAATGGTTGCCTAGTTCTTTAGGGTTGTTGATTATACAATTCCAGGAGTGTGAGGGCGGCGCGGAGTGCGGAGACCTGCTGTCTATGGTTAAGGTCCAGCGGGGTTAGGGTGACATCTGATACTTGGTTCCATGTTGGTGTCACATTCAACAAGAATTTGTTTGGCTTACTGAACCTCTTCAGTGTGTTGAGGGCTTCTCTGAGAGACGAATCATACTGTGACCTCAGTATTTTCCTCTTGTCTTTGTTTTCATCTGTGAGAGACCCATTGCCCCCGTGCAAGGGGGCTCATTGTTGCATGCGGTCGTTGTTGTTGTGATGAGAACTCTTCAGTAGAGTTCAGCAGTTTTAGTTCAGTGTGAAGGCTAGAAATCAATGGCGTCAGTAACGAGTGGCTTGATGAAGTTCCTTTTGTTTTGTGTTCGTCACATTTGGAAGATCTTGTTTTGGGGTCGCGGACGTTTGTTCTGTATACGAAATTACTCTCCGGGATCTTGTAATTATTATTAGGTTCTGCCGGAATGGATACGTTAATATTGTGTTAGTTGTGTCTCATTCATTCACGCCAGAGGTGCTGCTGCTGCCTCTCACTACTCTTCATCATATTGACTTGAAACTTAACACACTTAACGTTTGAGAAGATCAGTAGGAGCCATAAAGAGGATTCGAACCCGCAACCTTGGTACTCCCAAGTTAGCGCCCTAGTGGTCTAGGGCGCTAGCTTGGGACAACACTAGCCATCAGGGTTTGAATCCCCTTCACGGCGTCTACTGATTTTCCTCACAGATACACCACGTTAATGTGATATCATTGTGCACTTATGTTTGTTCCACCCCCCCACATCCCTACCGGACCCCACATACACCCACCACCCAGTACACACCCAGACACACCCACACTACACCCTGCCAGTGCTGTGTTCCGGAATGTGTATTGTTAAGCTCAGTTGGTGATATTACTGTGCGTGTGTTGACTCCTGAGACAGGGGCCAGGGAGTCCTGGCCCACCTTGTGAGACCATATAGTGTCTTTATATACTCTTGTTAAGTCAACAAGTGGCCAGAGGGAAACACAGCTTAGCTCATCGACAGTAAAGGGGTTAAATAATTAATGTATACTTGATTAAAGAAATTTAATTTGCTCAATATAGGTTTAGTGTTAACTTAAGGAGAGACTTCATGTTGAACCATGTGTGTATTTTTATGTTGAATAACAGGTGTTTTTTTCATGTTGTACCATAGGCCCGTTTTGGATGTGTCATTGGCCTGAGTTGATGTTGTACGTTAGGCCTTTTATGATGCTGTACCATAGGCCTGATTTGATATATTGTACCGTAGGCCTCTGATGCGTCACTCGTGGCGAGCTCGGCAGCGCAGCAGTGACGGGGGGCGGGCCGCCGGGGGCGGACCTCACCTCTGGAGGTACAGACAATCATCTACTATTCATTTGTAATAATTATCTTCCTTTATAACCGAACTAAAAGTTCTTTTTGATTACACTCCAGTAATAGAGATTACATACACACATTGCACTCTAAAATAACGCCGTTAATGGTACATTAAAGATTACTTTAACTTAATGGTTACTATAACTGATATTAACACAAACTCGGAAGACTTTCAAAGAGAAATTGACAACATGCCCAGGCACTCAGCTCCTGGGCCTGACTCGTGGAATTCAATATTCATAAAGAAATGTAAAGTACCAGTAGAGTGAGCGCTCTTGTAATATGGAGAAAGTGCCTGGATACAGGGGAGATACCAGCAGCACTTAAATCACCAGATACAGCTCCTCTGCACAAGGAGGGGAGTAAAGCTTTGGCAAAAAATTATAGATCAGTTGCACTAACATCATACATAATAAAAGTTTTTGAAAGAGTGATTAGGAATTAAATTTCTAGTTTTATGGAAAATAATGAACTACACAACCCAGGACAAGATGGATTTAGAGCGGGAAGATCCTGTCTGTCACAGTTACTTAACCACTATGACAAACATGAGATAGTTGCCCAATCGAAGACTTGTCGCTTGGGCAACTGAAAATAACATGATGTTTAAGGAATATGTGAGCCTGCGGGCCGCTCCAAGTAACAGCCTGGTAGACCAAGTATTTACAAATCAAGCCTGGCCTCAGGGCGGGCTCGGGGAGTAGAAGAACTCCCAGAACCCTCTCCAGGTATGCTCCAGGCATGCTCCAGGACATTAAACATATGTAAACTTGTTTTCCACAAGATACCAGTTTACTCACCAAAGGTTATAATTTGATAGTACTCATCTGAAGCATAAGAGAGGAAAGGTGAAAGTGGAGACAACATGTGAGGTGACCAAGATGGAGGCTGGGTGTGCAACACCCGCTGGGGCCCAGAGGCAGGACCAGCACCTCCCTAGGGGCCACACGGGCTGGAAGGTGGGAGATATAAGGTATATAAAGAGAGAACACCATGGGCCCCGAGACTGTTCAGCACACTTCCACTACACACAAAGGGCATTACCGACCTCTCACCGAGTTCACGAGAGAACTTGATGAACACCTTCAAAGGAAACCTGCTCAAGTAGGCTGTGGGTCATACATCAGGATGCGAAAAGTTGTGTCAAACAGCCTGGTTGACCAGACCACCATCCATGAGGCCTGTTTAGGGACCGGGCCGACGTAACGTTGGTTCTCGGAATCATCGGAAGGTAAACGAAAGGTAAAGGAAGTATAAAGAGATGGTGTGTAGTGGGGATTGAGACGGAGAGGGAAGAACATAGGGAAGAGGATGGAGTATCAGGGATGGAAGTGTCTCAGGAAGAGGAACTATCCACTAATGATGACAATGTTCAGCCCCGTGTGGAGGAAAATGTTGACGGAGGAGTTATAAACAAATGGTATATATATATATATATATATATATATATATATATATATATATATATATATATATATATATATATATATATATATATATATATATATATATATATATATATATATATATATTATTAAATATGACCGAAAAAGTAAGATTAATAATTCTAACACGAATTTTCTCAATCTTTCGTACATTTCTTTTCACTGTTGGTGGTAATTCAAAAATCAATTCTCCAAAATTCATTTTTATTTCTAGTCTGACGCGACACTTGAGCGCGTTTTCGTAAAACTTATTACATTTTCAAAGACTTTAGTTTACACATACACAACTGAATAGAACTTACACATCTTCAATTTGTTTATATCTACATTTGAGTGAGGTGGATGGGGTGAGGTGGTATTTAATAGGGTATTAAATTCATCAACACAAGACAGAACACGAAACAATGGGTATTGAATAGAAGTGTTTGTAGAAAGCCTATTGGTCCATATTTCTTGATGCTTCTATATTGGAGCGGAGTCTTGAGGTGGGTAGAATATAGTTGTGCATTAATTGGCTGTTGATTGCTGGTGTTGACTTCTTAATGTGTAGTGCCTCGCAAACGTCAAGCCGCCTGCTATCGCTGTATCTATCGATGATTTCTGTGTTGTTTACTAGGATTTCTCTGGCGATGGTTTGGTTGTGGGAAGAGATTATATGTTCCTTAATGGAGCCCTGTTGCATAAGCAACAGGGCTCCATTAGGAGCCTCCATTGTGTGTGGTGTTGACGGTGTTGTGTGTGTGTGGTGTTAACGGTGTTGTGTGTGTGTGGTGTTGACGGTGTTGTGTGTGTGTGTGGTGTTGACGGTGTTGTGTGTGTGTGGTGTTGACGGTGTTGTGTGTGTGTGGTGTTGACGGTGTTGTGTGGTGTTGACGGTGTTGTGTGTGTGTGGTGTTGACGGTGTTGTGTGTGTGTGGTGTTGACGGTGTTGTGTGTGTGTGGTGTTGACGGTGTTGTGTGTGTGTGGTGTTGACGGTGTTGTGTGTGTGTGGTGTTGACGGTGTTGTGTGTGTGTGGTGTTGACGGTGTTGTGTGTGTGTGGTGTTGACGGTGTTGTGTGTGTGTGGTGTTGACGGTGTTGTGTGTGTGTGGTGTGACGGTGTTGTGTGTGTGTGGTGTTGACGGTGTTGTGTGTGTGTGGTGTTGACGGTGTTGTGTGTGTGTGGTGTTGACGGTGTTGTGTGTGTGTGGTGTTGACGGTGTTGTGTGTGTGTGGTGTTGACGGTGTTGTGTGTGTGTGGTGTTGACGGTGTTGTGTGTGTGGTGTTGACGGTGTGTGTGTGTGTGGTGTTGACGGTGGTGTTGTGTGTGTGTGGTGTTGACGGTGTTGTGTGTGTGTGGTGTTGACGGTGTTGTGTGTGTGTGGTGTTGTGTGGTGTGTGTGTGTGTGTGGTGTTGACGGTGTGTGTGTGTGTGTGGTGTTGACGGTGTTGTGTGTGTGTGGTGTTGACGGTGTTGTGTGTGTGTGGTGTTGACGGTGGTGTGTGTGTGTGTGTGGTGTGTGACGGTGTTGTGTGTGTGTGTGGTGTTGACGGTGTTGTGTGTGTGGTGTTGACGGTGTTGTGTGTGTGTGTGTTGTGTGTGTGTGTGTGTGTTGACGGTGTTGTGTGTGTGTGGTGTTGACGGTGTTGTGTGTGTGTGGTGTTGACGGTGTTGTGTGTGGTGTTGTGTGTGTGTGGTGTTGACGGTGTTGTGTGTGTGTGGTGTTGACGGTGTTGTGTGTGTGTGGTGTTGACGGTGTTGTGTGTGTGTGGTGTTGACGGTGTTGTGTGTGTGTGGTGTTGTCGGTGTTGTGTGTGTGTGGTGTTGACGGTGTTGTGTGTGTGTGGTGTTGACGGTGTTGTGTGTGTGTGGTGTTGACGGTGTTGTGTGTGTGTGGTGTTGTGTGTGTGTGGTGTTGACGGTGTTGTGTGTGTGTGGTGTTGACGGGTGTTGTGTGTGTGTGGTGTTGTGTGTGGTGTTGACGGTGTGTGTGTGTGTGGTGTGTGTGTGTGGTGTTGACGGGTGTGTGTGTGTGTGGTGTTGACGGTGTTGTGTGTGTGTGGTGTTGACGGTGTTGTGTGTGTGTGTTGACGGTGTTGTGTGTGTGGTGTTTGTTGTGTGTGTGTGTGTGTTGACGGTGTGACGGTGTGTGTGTGTGGTGTTGACGGTGTTGTGTGTGTGTGTGTTGTGTGTGTGTGGTGTTGACGGTGTTGTGTGTGTGTGGTGTTGACGGTGTTGTGTGTGTGGTGTTGACGGTGTTGTGTGTGTGTGGTGTTGACGGTGTTGTGTGTGTGTGGTGTTGACGGTGTTGTGTGTGTGTGGTGTTGACGGTGTTGTGTGTGTGTGGTGTTGACGGTGTTGTGTGTGTGTGTGGTGTTGACGGTGTTGTGTGTGTGTGTGGTGTTGACAGTGTTGTGTGTGTGTGGTGTTGACGGTGTTGTGTGTGTGTGGTGTTGACGGTGGGGTTGAAGGATTGATGACGGTGGAGCAGGAGAACCTCGCCCCCCCCCACACCCCCAACAAGAGGGGGATCGATATGGCCAACAAGTGTTTCCTGCTGGCATAGTGGATGGAGGCGGTCCACACACGCCACCTCTCACTAGGAGGGTGGGGGGGGGGGTGGGGGGGGGGGGGGGGGGGGGGGGGGGGGGGGGGGGCAGATGGTGTAGCCGACACTCTCACCTCTCACTCTCACTCTTGGAGGGGGGGGGGGGTGGTAGTGTACTTACCTATAAGTACTTGTGTATCACTTAACACGGGGAAGTATCTCTCTCCCCCCCCCCCACCAAGGGCCGTTGCTCCACCTGTTGCTCTATGATGTAACTGTTCTGGCGTTCTAAATCTTTTTTTTTCTAACTCCCACGTACCAGTTTAATGCTAGGTGAACTGGGACATCAGGGTGAAAGATGCTGTTAATTTGTTTCTGCGCTGGGGATCGAACCCAGGCCCTCAGGACCACGACCCCAGAGCTCTGTACACTCATTTGCGAGGCCCATCTGTGTGTGTGTGTGTGTGTGTGTGTGTGTGTGTGTGTGTGTGTGTGTGTGTGTGTGTGTGTGTGTGTGTGTGTGTGTGTGTGTGTGTGTGTGTGTGCGTACTCACGTAGTTGTACTAGGCTAGTTATGCTTGCAGGGGTTGAGCTTCAGCTCTTTGGCTCATGTACTCACCTAGTTGTGCTTGCGGGGGTTGAGCTCTGGCTCTTTGGTCCCGCCTCTCAACTGTCAATCAACTGGTGTACAGATTCCTGAGCCTACTGGGCTCTATCATATCTACACTTGAAACTGTGTATGGAGTCAGCCTCCACCACATCACTGCCTAATGCATCCCATCCGTTAACTACTCTGACACTGAAAAAGTTCTTTCTAACGTCTCTGTGGCTCATATGGGTACTCAGTTTCCACCTGTGTCCTGTTCCACCTGTTCATGTGTGTGCGTGCGTGCGTGCGTGCGCAGTTGTGTATATGGACGTTCCAGGTGAAGATACACATATAGATGTTTCAGGTGAACGACGGTTAGTGCAGGTGTGTCAGGTGTGGGGACACAGGTGTGTGAGGTGAGGGGACACACAGGTGTGAGGTGAGGGGAACACACAGGTGTGTCAGGTGAGGGGAACACACAGGTGTGTGAGGTGAGGGGAACACACAGGTGTGTGAGGTGAGGGGAACACAGGTGTGTCAGGTGAGGGGAACACACAGGTGTGTGAGGTGAGGGGAACGCACAGGTGTGTGAGGTGAGGGGAACACACAGGTGTGTCAGGTAAGGGAACACACAGGTGTGTCAGGTAAGGGAACACACAGGTGTGTCAGGTGAGGGGAACACACAGGTGTGTCAGGTGAGGGGAACACACACAGGTGTGTCAGGTGAGGGAACACACAGGTGTGTCAGGTGGGGGAACACACAGGTGTGTCAGGTGAGGGAACACACAGGTGTGTCAGGTGAGGGGAACACACACAGTTGTGTCAGGTAAGGGGAACACACAGGTGTGTCAGGTGTGGGGAGGAACATAGAGAACAAAAAAGAGGCTGCAGGTGTGCAAATGTTCCATGTTTATAAAGTTATCCCAACAGGTGTACCAAGCTTGGACAGTGTACAAATGTGCTTACGTTTTTCCAGGTGTGTGTATGTGTTGGGGGGGGGGAGGGTGATGGGGGGAGGGGTGTGGGGGAGAGGGTGTGGGGGGAGGTGTGTTGGGGGGGGGGGGATGGTAAACACGTGTTAGAAATTGGAGAGTTGGACCAATAGTGAGGTTGTGGGGCCACTCTTAGTGACTGACAAAAGGTCCCCGGACCTTTTGCTGGGTCCGGGGATCATCTTCCCTGCGGTCCGGACTCTGTCCAGGCCTCCTGGTTGGTGGTTTGGTCAACCAGGCTGTTGGACACGGCTGCTCGCACCCTGACGTATGAGTCACAGCCTGGTGGATCAAGTATCCATCTACCTTCTCAGGTAGTGCTCTACCCACTCCAGTATTTGTTTCCTCGTTGTGTGCACTAGTGTTTCTTCGCCAGGTTGTGGTGTCTCACGAGGCTGTGTCTTTTGCTAGACAGGACACACACAACACACACACACACACACACACACACACACACACACACACACACACACACACACACACACACACACACACACACACACACACACACACACACACATACACACACACACACACACATACACACACACACACACACACACACACACACACACACACACACACACACACACACACACACACACACACACACACACACACACACACATACACACACACACACACACACACACACACACACACACACACACACACACACACACACACACACACACACACATACACACACACACACACACACTCAATTCCTGAAATTCTTCAGGAGTCAGAGAAGGAAAAGACTTGGGGGTTGATATCACGCCAGACCTGTCTCCTGCAGCACATATCAAGCGGATAACATCAGCGGCATATGCCAGGCTGGCCAACATACGAACGGCATTCAGAAACTTGTGTAAAGAATCATTCAGAACTTTGTATACCACATATGTCAGGCCAATCCTGGAGTATGCAGCCCCAGCATGGAGTCCATATCTAGTCAAGGATAAGACTAAACTGGAAAAGGTTCAAAGGTTTGCCACCAGACTAGTACCCGAGCTGAGAGGTATGAGCTACGAGGAGAGACTACGGGAATTAAACCTCACTTCGCTGGAAGACAGAAGAGTTAGGGGGGACATGATCACCACATTCAAGATTCTGAAGGGGATTGATAGAGTAGATAAAGACAGTCTATTTAACACAAGGGGAACACGCACAAGGGGACACAGGTGGAAACTGAGTGCCCAAATGAGCCACAGAGATATTAGAAAGAACTTTTTTAGTGTCAGAGTGGTTGACAAATGGAATGCATTAGGAAGTGATGTGGTGGAGGCTGACTCCATACACAGTTTCAAGTGTAGATATGACAGAGCCCGATAGGCTCATGAATCTGTACACCTGTTGATTGACGGTTGAGAGGCGGGACCAAAGAGCCAGAGCTCAACCCCCGCAAACACAACTAGGTGAGTACACACACACACATACACACACACACACACACACACACACACACACACACACACACACACACACACACACACACACACACACACACACACACACACACACAAACACACACACACACACACACACACACACACACACACACACACACACACACACACACACACACACACACACACACACACACACACACATACACACACACACACACATACACACATATGTGTGTGTGTCTATGATAAAATAACGAGGATAAGACAAGACAGAGATGGTTGGGCGGACTGCATATTTCTGGACTGCCAAAAAGCCTTTGATACAGTACCGCACATGAGCAAAGTTCAACACGAGCCAATGTAAAGTTATGGAAATGGGACTAGGAGATAGGAGACCAAAGGGACAGTACACAATGAAGGGGAACAGCCTACCTGTGACGACGCGAGAAAGAGACCTGGGCGTGGACGTAACACCTAATCTATCTCCTGAGGCACATATAAATAGGATAACGACAGCAGCGTACTCTATACTGGCAAAAGTTAGAACATCATTCAGAAACCTAAGTGAGGAGGCATTTAGGGCGCTTTACACTGCCTACGTAAGGCCAGTCTTAGAGTACGCCGCCTCATCATGGAGTCCCCATCTGAAGAAGCATATAAGGAAACTGGAAAAGGTTCAGAGGTTTGCAACGAGACTCGTCCCAGAGTTACGAGGGATGGGGTATGAGGAGCGCCTGAGGGAACTGTGCCTTACGACACTAGAAAGAAGAAGGGAGAGGGGGGACATGATAGGAACGTATAAAATACTCAGGGGGATTGACAGAGTGGGCATAGACGAAATGTTCACACGGAATAGTAACAGAACGAGGGGACATGGGTGGAAGCTGGAAACTCAGATGAGTCACAGGGATGTTAGGAAATTTTCTTTTAGCGTGAGAGTAGTGGGAAAATGGAATGCACTTCAGGAACAGGTTGTGGAAGCAAATACTATTCATAATTTTAAAACCAGGTATGATAGGGAAATGGGACAGGAGTCATTGCTGTAAACAACCGATGCTCGAAAGGCGGGATCCAAGAGTCAATGCTCGATCCTGCAGACACAACTAGGTGAGTACAACTAGGTGAGTACACACACACACACACACACAGGGGGCCTCGTAGCCTGGTGGATAGCGCGCAGGACTCGTAATTCTGTGGCGCGGGTTCGATTCCCGCACGAGGCAGAAACAAATGGGCAAAGTTTCTTTCACCCTAAGTGCCCCTGTTACCTAGCAGTAAATAGGTACCTGGGAGTTAGTCAGCTGTCACGGGCTGCTTCCTGGGGTGTGTGTGTGTGGTGTGAAAAAAAAAAAAAAGTAGTTAGTAAACAGTTGATGGACAGTTGAGAGGCGGGCCGAAAGAGCAAAGCTCAACCCCCGTAAGCACAACTAGGTGAATACACACACGCCCACACACACATACGCACGCCGACACACACGTACACCCACACTGACGCACACACGCAAGTACGCCCGCCCACCCACACTCACGCCCGCACGCCTGCAGTAATAAAAGTTCACATAACTAATACAAACCATCAGAGCAGAATACGTTGGTGGTGTATGATGAGTGTGTGTGTGTGTGTGTGTGTGTGTGTGTGTGTGTGTGTGTGTGTGTGTGTGTGTGTGTGTGTGTGTGTGTGTGTGTGTGTGTGTGTGTGTGTGTGTGTATTTCCCTCGATGTTCTCGCCGGGTCGATGAGCGCCAGCTCCTAAGCCCCGCCTGTCAGTGCAGTATCTGCCCTTCACAGCTTGTCGCCACACCTCCTTGAGACTGTTTTTAGTGTTTGTCTACACAATCTCTCAATACTCCAGTCCATCTGGGCTCTTGATCTAGTACTTTGTGTCTTGAGACCCTAGGCCTAGCCCCTTGTGTAACATGTTATCTTGAGCCTCGCCTTTCTGCCGACTATGTCAGTGGTATCAACCTTGATATTTGGCTGGTGATATATCCCAGTTGGTGCTTCTGATAAGTGGTGATATCGAGCCCCTTCAGGCGGTCTCTCTAACGTTGTTGTGTTTTTTCAGGTTGGGAGTCCAAGCCGGAGCTGCATTCTCCAAGGCTGGTCTTGTGTAAGTTGTATACAATGCTCTCAAGGCTCTTTGTCAAAGTTTCTGAAAGTTTTAAAAGACTTTTGCTAGTTTCGCATAACCTGTACACTCTATTTGTTCACTGTGCTCCTGTGACATTATGTTTGGTGATGTTATACTGACATTCTCTCTGGCTCATGAAGTTGCCTCCCTTTTAGTCTGTATTGGCTCAGGGGGTTCTTAACCCTGCGCTCATTACCTCGCATTTATCAGGATTTAAGTCTAGCAGCCGTTTCTTAGATAATTTCCGAAGAACACACTCATGTTCCTAAAGTGTTTGTTTTTATTCTTATCATTAACTTTGCGTCACCTGTGAATAGGGAGATAAATGATCCTATATACTCTGTCGGATCATTGATGTATACTGTATTAGGAAGCAGTTCCTGAACCATTCATGGTCACCCCAGATCGTGATTAGTCTCTCAACATGTCCCTCTGTATTATGACTGAGAGGTGCGTCAAATGCATTATTTCAAGTAAGATAAAGTCAGTCCAGTCTTCTCTCTTCTAGTTTATCGCTGTTCTTTACAAATGTTATCTTATAAGTCCAACAGGTTCGCTATACATGATCTTCCATCTCTAAGTCCACGTTGCTCGTTGTTTTCTTAGGAATATTGTTGCCCGGAAGCAGAGTCTCTGGCTGATCAGAGGAGTTACTCGTGTCACCGTTACTTAAGACCTTCTTAAGTCCATGTCCCGAATGTTGCTTTCAATAAAGGAGAATCTCGGTGGGAGTCTGACTTTATTTGTACTCGGTATTGTGTTAGATAATGTTCCAGTGGTCTGCCGGGCACTTCGTTCACAATGCTAACATTTCCTCTCTTCTTCTGGAACATGTACTGGAGTGAATGGTATGGAAGAAAATGCAGAATAGAACCAGTGAAGAGCAGAGGTGCCATAGGCACAGTCAGAGAACACTGTATAAACATCAGAGGTCCGCGGTTGTTCAACATCCTCCCAGCGAACATAAGAAATATTGCCGGAACAACCGTAGGATGTCCTGCCAACCTTGTGGTGAACCTGAGGATCACTGTCCGGGTCTCTGAGCTAAGCTACAGCTTCAGATGCTTGCCTCTCCCGGGCTACTGATGCCTTCAAGCTGTCACCTACTGTGTTAGTTATGGTATCCCTCTGCACAATGATGTATAACACGTGGAACCATTGTACTTGCATCATGAAATATGCACGTAGGTCATCAATACCTTTCTCAGTGATTGTATTTGATTGTATTTGTGGTCTATAACGTAATGTGAGGGGGGGGAGGTGGGAGGTGGGGAGGGGGGTGTTTATCACCCATATTGGAGACTCTGGTAACGCCTTCCCGCCAAACACACACCGAAACTACGACGTTGGTACAACGTTCGAACAAGTTTTAACACCTCCTAACCAGTTATAACAACCAATATAGCAAGTCGTAACAACGTTCTAACACGTCATAAATACGTTAAGCCAAAATGTAACAACTTTATTACAAGTTGTAACAAGCGGAAAATAGAGACAGTTTCGGTTTGTGTTTCCAGGGTTGACGCTCCATTGATTATATCTTAAGGTGTACTTTTTCTGGGTCTAGTTAATATCTTGGTCAACATGTATGCCGCAACACCTGTTGTCCTTTCAACCGCTGTTAGTCTGGTTGTAACGTCTGCAAAGTCTTCACTGGACTTTGCATTGTGGTTAACGAACGATAGTTAACGAATGACGTTAGACCATGAGCTTCAAGGTAGGTAGATATTCTCGAAGCGTTTTCCTATTTCGTTTGTTAACTATCTTACCAGGAATACTTGTTGTTTCTAGCCGAGAGCCCTCTGCTCTTACACATTGGTGTGATGCATGCAGTGCATCACACTCGAAGCAACAGTTTGTTGGAGCAAGTAATCACTAGTCAAGCCTGGGCCCAGGACCGGGCTCAGGGAGTCTGAGTTTACCTTCCAGAACCCACTCCAGGTACACTCTGGGCATACATAACTGGTCTATTGCTGGTTTTAGTTTGCACCACGAGAGGCTGTCTAGCACAGTGGTATTCACAGGCACCCAGTTTCTGAAGTTGGTATCTTTCCATCTCTGGGACCCTTCTTATATAGCAGTATCTCACTCTCTCACTCACCTCCTTGTCAGTACCTCACTCACCACCTTGACAGTACATCAATTACCTCCTTGACAGTACGGATGGAGCGGGAAAAATGCACAAGACTGGACCGCAAGTCGGCAGCAAGTCCTATGTAGTTCATCCACAGTTCCACATAAACTACCACACTCCACAACGCCAGTACCACTACCAAGACTGCACGAACCATTGCCAGCACACCCTGGCCCTCTCAAAACCCACCAGGAGTAATACACACTATGAAAAATCTTTTATATTTACAAACATACAAAGCCTAATGCCACAATCGAGAAATAAAGCTAAGTTCATAATGGCCTTCTAATAAAACCGAAGTCAATATTTGGATCATTCACAGAAACCCATACGAGAGAATACAGGGAAAGAGAAATCTGGATTTATCACAGAGATTCTGTAACAAATGCTCGCTAAACCGGCAGATAACCGACCAATTAAGAGAACACACACACTCGACCTGGTCTTTACAGACAATGAGGAACGATTGTTGACCAGACTACACACTAGAAGGTGAAGGGACGACGACGTTTCGGTCCGTCCTGGACCATTCTCAAGTCGAGGAACGATTCAAAGATATTACATCGCAGATACTACGTATTCAGACCACCGGCTCATTGAAGTTCTAAACTAACCTGTCATAGTCCTAAATGATTAATAAGAGAGTAGGGCAATACCAGTCTTGAGTAACAGAACTCCCACATGAGGAATGGAACAATTGAGTGTCGAAGCGTAGTCTGCTTGGACCAAGGGGCCTCTGTGCACCGTCAGAAAAAGCGCTGTTTTAAAAAAAGAACGCAGACGACTCTGTAAAAGAAGGGGAAAATAACGGAAACGCTTGAGCAGATAAGTGTCACAACAAACAAAAAGAAATCTAAACAGGGAGGTAAAAGAAACATAGCAGAGGCTGAAGCGATCAAACCAGTCTGAGGAAATGAAATAGTCAGAATGTTGATGTACTCTGCAGGAATGACTTCTGATGTCAGAGACCAAGTCTAGATTAGGCTTAGTTGGCCTAGGGCGATCTCAATAAACCTGACCTTCCCTGAATGCAAACCTCAAATTTGTCTAAATCCTGGATACCCTTGTCAGTGTTAAGTGAACAGTGGCACCAGGTGAAAGAAAACATACCAGACATTTGTCTCCTTAAACCAGAGCTTCCTCTAAGATGTTCGTCGTGAAAGCTATACAAGAGACAAAGAAATATCCAAAATATTTCTTCATACACAATACGTGAAATAAAAATTTACAACCTGCACCACCAGTATTGGATATATTAACAAGAGTGCATATACTGTACTTACAACTGTAGGTTCGTGCCCAGAGGATGAGATAGAAATGATTGAAATCCTAAAAGACGAATATGAAGCTATGTTCGGCGCCCCATTAAACAACATGAAAGTTGAAGATCCGGACAGCTTCTTCATCAACGATACCCAAGCCCCTCACAATATAGCTGATATTAACACAAACGTAGAAGACTTTGGAACAGAAATGGACAACAGTTCACGCACTCAGCCCCAGGTCCCAACTCATGGAATTAAATATTCACAAATAAATTCAAAGTGCCAGTAGCGCGCGTGAAAAGCGTAGTATGTAAAAAAAATAAAGAGTGGATACAGAAGAGATTCCAGAAGCACGTAAAGAAGACGAGAGAGGTATCAAATAATATATACATGGAAGATACTGCAGGACCAGGGCCCAAATTTGCACAGTAGAATAACAACATACTGGAACGAAAGATATACCTTGCGATAATGTCGGGCCTCAACGTCCCTGCGGCCCGGCCCTCCACCAGGCCTTCTCGTTGCTGAACTGATCAACCAGGCTGTTGGACACAGCTGCTCGCAGCCTGACGTATGAATCACAACCTGGATGATCATATCCTTTGGAGGTGTTTATCGAGTTCTATCTTGAACACTGTGAGGGGTCGGCCAGTTATGCCCCTTATGTGTAGTGGAAGCGTGTTGAAGTCTCGGGCCTCTGATATTGATAGTTCTCTCTCAGAGTACCTCTGCTTTGCAACGGGGGAATGGAAGGAAATGCAGAATAGAACCAGTGAAGCGTAGAGGTGCCAAAGGCACAATCAGAGAACACTGTCTGAACATCAGAGGTCCACAATTGTTCAACACACTCCCAGCAAGCATTATAAATATTGCTGGAACAAAGGTGGATGTATTTAAAAGGCATTTGGATAAGTTCTTGCAAGAAGTGCCGGACCAACCAGGTTGTAGTGGATGTGTGGGCCTACGGGCCGCTCCAAGCAATAGCCTGTTGGACCAAGTTATCGCAAGTCGAGCCTGGCCTCAGGCCGGGCTGGGAGTAGAAACTCCCAGAACCCTCCCCAGGTACACCTCCAGATATACCTCCAGGAATACCTCCATGTATACCTCCATGTAGGTACCTCATTTCTGGATACCAAGCACTCGTGGACCTCTGGTATCTACTGCACCTTTATCCCCTTCTTCAGTCTTTTATTAGACTTCCTTCCACCTCTTCCTCCTTTTCCATCACCCCTTAATTCCCTACAATTACTTGTGCGACCACAAGGGGTGTTATTAAGAACTTGTCACAGCCCATTGAGCGGGAGTGGCGGGGTAATAGCCGCGACGTATTCAGTGGGTCCCGGGCCCCAGGCTAAATGAGCTATTTCTCAGTGGGACGGCACTCCAGGCCACCATTGAGCGATATCCAAAGCACCCAAGCCATCTATTGTGGTTTCGCCTCGCATGCCGACTCACTCATAACTCATTCATCAAATTTAAATCCCAGCAACACACGTGGTGTTACTACAACACGAGGACCGCTCTCCATGGCTACTGGCCCGCCCTCCTGCAGCCCCCCGCGCCTGGGGGGTTGCACCTGA